CAGGGAAAAGTGATCAAAGAGTGGGTAACAGAGTCCATGTCAGAGATAACCCCTGTTCCCCTTCCCTGTTCCCCTTACTAGGCAATCCATATGAAGACTGAGCTGCCAACTGGGCTACATCTGATCAGATCAGGGGGTCTAGGTCCTTTCCATGCATGGTCCTTGGTTGGTGCATCAGTCTCTGCAGGGGCCCCTGGGCCCAGATTTGTTGGTCTCCTTGTGGAGCTCCTGTCCCCTCCAGGTCCTTCCATCCCCCAACTCTTCCTTAAGACTCCCTGCACACAGCCCAAAATTTGTCTGTGAGTCTCAGGGGATCTGCTTCGATCCCCTGCTCAGCGGAGTGTTTCAGAGGACATCTATGGTAGACTCCTATCCTGTTCTCCCACTCTTCGACTGATTCTGGTATCTATTTTATTTGCCCTTCCGAATGAGAATTAAGCACCCTCCCTAGGGTCCTCCTTGTTATTTAGTGCCTTTATATCTGTGGATTTTAGTATGGTTATCCTGTATTATATGGCTAATATCCCCTTTTAAGTCAGTACATACCAAGAGTGTCTTTCACCAACCCTACATCCAACAGAGGGCTAATATCCAAAATACATAAAGAACTCAAGAAATCAAACACCAGCAAAACAAATAACCCAGTTAAAACTGGGATACAGAGCTAAACAGAGAATTCTCAACAGAAGAATATTGAATAGCAAGGAAACACTTAAGGAAATACTCAATGTCCTTAGTCATCAGGGAAATGAAAATCAAAACGACCCTGAGATTTCACCTTACACCCATCAGAATGGCTAAGATAAAAAACTCAAGGGACAACATATGCTGGAAAGGGTGTGGAGAAAGGGGAACCCTTTTCCATTGCTGGTGGGAGTGCAAACTTGTACAACCACTTTGGAAATCAATCTGGTGCTTTCTCAGAAAATTGGGAATAGTGCTACCCTAAGACCCAGCAATACCATACCTGGGCATATATCCAAAAGATGCTCCACCATACCAAAAGGACACATAATAGCTTTATTTGTAGCACCCAGAATCTGGAAACAACCTAGATGTTCCTCAACTGAAGAATGGATAAAGAAATTGTGGTACACTTATACAATGGAATACTATACCCAGCTATTAAAAACAAGGAAATCATGAAATTTGCAGGGAAATGGATGAAACTAGTAATAAGATCATCCTGAGTGAGGTAACCCAGACCCAGAAAGATGCACATGGTCTATACTCAAATTCTTTTATATATGTGTATGAAGCCCAGAGGTCTATGTTGGGTATCTTCCTCAACCATCCTCCAATTTCTCTGTTTAAATGTATAGCACGGTATTATGTACAAGAGGAGGATGTCACATGTCCTGATGTATTACTCTTTACCTTATTCAGCCAATAAGACCTAGCAATCCTGTCTCTATCTGTTCACAGCACTAGAGTTCCAGATGCACATATGCCCATACCCAGCTTTTTATCTGTGTGCTGGAGTGGGGATTTGAACTCAGGCTCTCAAGATTGCAGAGCAAGCATTCCCTACCCACTAAGCAATCTCTCTAGTCCCTCTACCTACATTTTTGAGATGGGTCTCTTAAAGAATCTAAAACTTGGCAGCTGGAGATGGCTCAGCGGTTAAGAGCACTGCCTGCTCTTCCAGAGGTCCTCAGTTCAATTCCCAGCAACCACATGGTGGCTCACAAACATCTATAGTGAGATCTGGTACCCTCTGCTGGCCTGCAGGCATACATGTAGGCAGAAAACTGTATAAAGAGTAAATAAATAATACAAAAAAAAAAAAAAAAGATTGAAAGAAAAAAAAGAAACATTAAAAAAAATAATCTAGAATTTACTGATTCAGTTAATCTAGCTGGCCAAGATGACCCAAGGGTCCTCCTATCTCATCTCCTCAGCACGGGGATTTCAGCTATGTGACACTGCACCTGGCTTCTTCTCTTAAGGTTCTGGGGACTAAACTAGGTTCTTGTGCTTGACTTAGCCATACCTCAAATGTTCAAGCTGGAGGAATGAACTATTATGAGAAAGAACCATTTCAAGTACTGCTTCTCACTCATCTGAAACATATACAATGGCCATGACCTCTGCTCTAAAAGTACTTAACCTTTTACCTTAAAGCTAACAAACTCTTTCAGCAAAATTTCTTTATTGTTCAGGCCTCTGGGACATTCTGCTCACGCATCTGAGTGTTGGTTACATCCTTAGGTCTTTAGTCAAGTAGCACACTCTTGGCAAGGTCTTTCATCACCTTCGACTTAAAAGAGTTTTTACTCTTTGTAACTGTATATTTCACACATATGTTTTATTCATCTATCTCCCATTTCTATATAGTAAACTGAAAAAGACAAAGTTTTTCCTCTGTCAGCTTTACTCACATGTGTGGACACCACCCTGCTAGCATATCATCACGCTAATTTAAAATACTCTTAGGAGCTAGGATCAGGTATTACACATCTAAACATCTACCATAACATTTTTTTCCAGAATGTCAGAGAATAGGTACTCTTATGTCTGGTCACAATGTTGAATGAGTATGAGATGGAAGGGAAAAGAAAAAGCGAAGTTCAGTCATTCTTATAAGCTCCTAAGGCAGCATACTTCTCTGGCCAATCCTAACCAATAATTATTTTTCTCTTATAATTCCCCTGGCCTTAAACTAACCCCCTTCTTTTACCCGAGTACACTTGTGTATTTATCTGGCTTCTATTTTTTTGGCCAGTCCCAAATCAAAGCACGTCTTTCTTACACCTGTCAAACTAATGATTCTCCTCTTCTCAGTGTATTTGTTATTTACTGCATACAAAGGGCTTAATAAGATTTTCTGTGTTCATGGATAAATTCATAGGCTAGGATTAGAGAATTCTCAAAGACACTGTGGAAGAACTGTACACACAAACAATAAATAAAATTGAACTGATTTTATAAGAAAGCCATTTTTTTTTAATTTGATAGAAAGGTCTAAAATAAAACCACTTGAATCTTCATAACTAAATGCCATTTGCTAATTTTCCCTATTATATACATAACTTATATAATTATTATATTGGCACTCAGGAAGCAGAGGCAGGTGGCTCTCTGTGAGTTCAATGATAGCCTAGTCTCCTGTGAGTTCTAGGCCAGGCATTGCTATATAGTGAGACCTGTCTCAAAAAAAAAAAAAAAAAAAAGTCTAATTACTTAAGCTCTGAAACATTCTAGTTGTGAAACGACTAGTTATGAAACCATGAGCACACTTAACTTCCTATGTTTCTGCTGTCTCATCAACAACAATGAAAAAGCAATTTATCAAAGCCAAGTACAGGGCTGTATGAACATCAAAGAGAAAATTACATGTGTTTAAACACTTTCTGTCACAGCATAAGCAAAAGATAATGGTGGTTATCATTTTTAACTGTCATTTGATACCATAAGGTATTTCTTAATTTCAAGAGCTATTTTAAGGTAACTATATTACAATTTAAGTATTTTCGTATTCTCTAATATATACTGAACAAATTATTACATTATAGCAAGCTGTATCACAGCATTATACAATGAGTAAAATTTATAGTAAAATTGTGATATAGAAAAATGCCTCTAAGAGTTTTAGTTGAAAACTATTCAGCATTAAATGAGTTTTTGTTTTTTTAAACATTTATAAAGTTGAGTAAAAAATAAATTGAAATTCCCTTCAATTTATTTTTTAAATGCTAGTATATTGAAAAAACCTACCATAATATTGGCAAAAGCTATCTTTATTTTTTTTTTCTTTTCCTTCCTGCATTTTTAAAGTTTTCTACACTGAGCACATTTCTTTAAAATTCAAAACATTTAGTTTTAAAATTTCAAATACAGAGCACTTTTGAGAAAACAATTACTTGTGACTATCAATCTGGCTTTGTGAACTCAAAAGCGATCCTTTAACTAACTGAACTGACCAAGTTTATTCTGCACATCTGTATAATGAGCATATGTGGAGATGAGGCTACTATTTTCACAGGTTTGTAAGAGTCTGAGTATGTTATTAAGGTTTTTCTACAAGGAAAAAGTGACCCCATAAACCTAAAGAAAAGAGGAAAACAGAACCTCTGGGCTGGGTAGCTGAGTGGTAAAGTGCTTGTCCAGAAGGTTTAATCCACAGGGCTGAATACACTGGGTGTGATAATTCAAGTTTAAAATCCTAGCTCTTGGGCTCAGTAGTGGTTCCACATACCTTTAATCCCAGCACTTGGGAGGCAGGCAGATCTCTGTAAGTTCAAGGTCAGCCTGGTCTACAGAGTGAGTTTCAGGACAGCAAAGGCTACACAGAGAAACCCCGTCTTGAAAAACAAAAACAAGAAAACAAAAAATCCTAGCACTTGGAGGTAAAAGCAGGAGGATCAGAACTTCAAAGTTGTCCTCTGCTACACAGTAAGTGTGAGGCCAGTTTGGACTACAAGAGATCTCTCTAACACCACACGATGGCTCAGTGGGTACAGGTGCTTACTGCCAAGCTTGATGACTAGAGTTCAGTTCCTGGGCCTCACACAACGGAAAGAGAGAACAAACTCCTACAAGGTTCTTCTCTAGCGTGCACACACAGTCTGATATGCCCCTCCACATATATAGAAATAAACATGAAAAGCAAAACTGCAGAACCTCCAATGATCAACATTCCATGATTGTTCTAACCAAATGTGATCTCTATCATCACATCAAAACCATGTTTTGCATACTGGTACAAGTAAATATGAATTATTTTCTTTATGTTTTTTTGAGACGTGGTCTCATACTGCACAGACTGGCCTAACAGACATTTGTTGTCAAACCCACTACACAGCCAATTTCTGATCCTCCTGCCTCCACTCCTGAGCATTGGGATTACCAAATGTGTACCACCAGACCCATTTTTATAAAATTTTTAAAAATCTAATGAAAACCAAAATACTACTTTAAAAACCAGACTGGTCATTTGCCATGAGGCTGTATGTGTGTGCATGTGCATGTTTATGAAAACATCAAGTTAACAGACTTACCCGTTCTGTAGTCGCCTCCTCTCCAGGTACACACACAGCAGCAGCACAAGCTATTTCTATCACAGAAGAGCTGGTAGGAGCATCAGTTGTGGATGAAGATCTAGGTCGACCTGACTGTATAACAGCTGCCACCTCTTGGCCAGATTTCCTGTTGATTTGGGGACTTCCCTTTGGGGCTTCTGACTTGCCCCGCCTACTATGCAAGCTTGTCCCTCTCTTCATCTTGGGTGGCACCCGGATCTGCTGCAGAACACGATTCAGAGCTGTGGGGTGGGTGGAGACACCATCAATCTCAGCACATGCGTTCTGACTGTCCAGATCCACCTCAGGCTCTGGATCTGCCTGAATCTGCTGCACATCGTGTGGAGACACTGATGACCTCCTGCGCTGGTGCTGGAAGAGATGCTTCAAGCCTTGGCCAATCACATTAATGTTCTCCAGAGCATTGTGGGTCATTTTAGATAACTTTTGTTCTGATTCTGTCTGCCTCCTGGCTTCTGCATCTTGAGATTTGCCTCCAGGATCAGGGTCCTCATACAACTGTTCACTGCCGGAAGGCTCCATCAGTAAGCTAATAAGCTTATTTGCAAACTCAAAAAATTTAAACACACCGAAACTGTCAAATTAGGTAGGCATTTGCTTCAACAGTGACTATGCATGCAGCTGTGACACGGAGGCTTCATGCCTACCTAATGTTAAAGAAAATAAAAAGAAAGAAAAAGGAAAAAGGAAAAAAAAAAGAAAAAAAAAACCTGTATCATATATCCATGCAGAAATACAGAAACATTACAGCTAAAACAAAGAAAAACATGCAACTAGCCAAATAAATAAGTACTATAATTAAGCAATCTTTAATCAGAAGATTAAAAGATAATTTTTTCAGATAATGGGTTATGCTACTTTATAGAATAAAAAGCCCAGAACAAGGACACAGAAAATGAAAATAGCAATATTAAAAAAAATGGATCCCTTACAAGTTTCAATATATGAAGAAGGATACTAAGAGGCCATCTTGGGATAGACACCATAATAACAGTTGGCAGGACAACCAGCCAATGCTTAGAAAAATCAAGAGAACAGACCATCCATTATGCTTACTCTTGCTGAGACAATTAAATTCTTTTTATTTATAATCACAGCTAAGTATCTACATGCTGAAACTCAGCAAATTAAGAGAATAGTGAGAGATTAATATCCCAACCTATGTGGATTTTAATAAAAAATTGGAATTTCTTGCTACCATCCATCCACATTCATCAAGCTCAGTAATAATTACAGGTGATAGGTTTACTCTTTTGGGAGGCCAAAACAAAGAAAAGTCTTGTAAACTGAATTCTTTACTGAAGTCAAAATAACCTGACGGGCCCCAATAAATGAGCAGTCTAGACAGATAGGTCTTCAGAGAGAACAGAGCTTTACTCAGTGCCAGCTGTCAAAAAGGGAGATTTGAAAGGGAGGGGGAACATACACACACCTGTAATCCTGGCACGAAGGAGGCTAAGACAGGAGGATGGAGGGTTCAAGGTCAATCTGGACTACAGACAGCAAGTTTTACGCCAGTCTGGGCTATATACGACACTGAGTCCTTAATTTAAAAAAAGCAGAAAACAGAGTCAAAAAAGTTCCTTCCTCAACAGCATTATTCTTGACAGAAGCCTCCAATCTATCTAAACTCAAAAACAAAGATGTAATGCAGTAACTTGTACAATGGAAGAGCAGACAAAAATGAAAGGTCAAAGGTCAAATACCAACCATAAGCCAGTATTAAACACAGGACGGGGAAGCTGAAACTAAGAGCATGATTGTCACGGCTACTGAAATCACATGCAAAAAGGAGGGGTGGCTGGGCAGGGATCAGATCTCTTTTTTTAATAAAAAGTGTTTTATTTTTATTGAGTTTGTGCAAATACATAAAATGATTGTAGAAATGAATAGAAGCTACAGGAGAGGACAAAATGTGTTACAGGAGGTTCTTGCTTTCTTTTCTCTCAATTTTTGTTGTTGTTTAGAAGGCTTTAATTTAAAACTCCCTACATTGCAATGAGTACCCTGAACAATCTGCCACTGCCAGTTCAGCCCTGTAAGTTCTTGTTCTGGGCTATGGGTCCAAGTGGCAAGGCAGAAGGCATAAATAAACTCATTTGTCAACACTGGCTACCAGCTGAGGGACAGGAAACATATCCACTCACACTTCATGACTATTCTCACACTTTCTCACCATAGGACAGGGACACTGGCACTGTAGCTCCATGGTCCCCATTCTTTCAAACCTGTTTCCTTATGTGCTGACTCATCATGACTCAAAAGTACAAAGAGTGACAGTTAAAAACGTTCATCTCTCACCAGTACTTTTCTACTTTCTAAATACCATATGTTTCTTCATTCCAGAAAAAGAAAACTGAGAGCAGCTGTTAAGAGTGGGTGAGCTCCCCGTCCTTCACTGAAATTCTTTGTGGCCCCACAGAAAACTTGATATATGACCTCTCCTATTCCTTTCTTAACTGTACACTTGCATTAGTTTTTGGTTTCCCTTTGAGACCACAAAGGGGAAAAACTCTTGTTGGCTTAGATGTAGTGCAGTTTTCTGGGGCTTTTTATGGGCAAAACCTTTTGTTTTGTTTTCCACACAGGGTATCTCTGTGTAGCCTTGGCTGTCCTGGATTAATTTTATAAACCTGGCTGGCCTCTATCTCACAGAAATCCACCTACCTCTGCATCCCTGAGTTCTGGAACTACAGGTGTGCATGCACTTGGCTTGTGAGCCAAACTTGCCAACAGTATGATGTTTAGTTATCCCGACCATCCATCTTAAATTTTCCTGGCAGACTAATAGTTACTGAATTTTATTAATCTTAGATTAAAAGTGCTGCGTGACCAAAATACCAGCACTGGTGACAGTATACATCTATCAATCTCTTCTCACACTAGGCTGCACAGACCAAAAATATGTATGAAGAATGTCAAAGCAAGGTTGACAGTTACAAGGTAGTTTGTAATTTTCCTCATTTTATACTGTATTAGCCACACAGTGCAATTGATCTGGTTATTGTTGTAAGTAAAATAAAGCCAGTTTATCACACCAGACTAAAAGATACAAAGAATAAGATAATGTTACTGAGGTAGCTAAGAAACTAAATGAACTATTTATACTATTTATCTCACACATGAAAGCATTATAGGAACTGACTACTCAGCAGATCTTTCTTTGGGCAGTATTGGGAACTAATCAACTGACCATCTGTCTGCTTCCTATCCATAAAAAAAAAAAGAGAGAGAGAGAGAATATAGTACATTTTAAATGTTAGTTAACTTCTACATTGTTTATTTTTTTTAAAAAAGCTGAAATGACTGATAAAAGAGAGATTCTAGAAATCCCTAGGGAAGACTCTTAGAGCTGTAAGGATGAGGGAAATGCATTTCAAGATCTCTAATAGCAAGCCTTATTTTCATTACACTAGCTAGCACAGGCTTGTGGAGCATGCAGCCCTAAATACACCCAAGCTGAGTTTTAAGCAGTAAGTTGTGATTTTTCACTTCTGATAGAAGATATAAACATCTAGAACATGGTCAAAATTGTGATGGCTCCTCCAGTCACTATACAAAAAATCTCTAAGGTACCTAGTAAAGGTATGCCAAGTATTAATGAAGAGCAAATGTCATAACCAAAGAACCAATGACAGCATACTGTTGTAACTGCAAATGCTGACAGTATGAATGTCAGCACTCATGGAATTGGGCAATCTCAAAACACTTTAGAATGCCGTGCCATTTCTTCTCTAAGACTGCAACTGTGGAATAAGTAGTGCCTGTTTATCAGTTTATGAAAAAACTCCAAATTACATTTAGATCCCTGGTTTAACATATACCAGGTTCTAGTTCAAAGCTGAGTGTACTTTGGTAAGAAAGGAATTTGGCTTTTCTTTTGTTCCTTATCTCTAGGTCACATTCTTATAGTAAAGGGGACAACGTGGGGAAACGGAAAAAGGAGCAAAATGACACGACAGAAGACATGAAATATGGGGAAAGAAGAACAAGAAGCAACGATGTACATACCACACATTTTTGGTCATTTCATTCAATTCTCTGAAATTTCCCACAATTTACTTTTCTACCACAGTTTTGTTTAAGATATAATACTTGGTAAGTACACACTGAGCAAACAAGTTTCTTTGAATTAATATTAGAAATAAAGTGGAAAATTGCTTTTTAAAATTCAACAAATGTTCATAAAGTCATCCTAAATTATACACAGATTATTTTTTTAATTCTCTTTTCCTGCCAACCTTTATGTCTTGTATATGGTAGCCAAAGCTATGGCACTTGGCCAAGTTATTTTCACAGGTCATGAAAACTTGGATACTTGCCTTCATTGCTCTTTCTCAAGCATGTCCAGGGGGCACAGGTGTCCTCTCAGGAAAAGCTGAAAAGCAAGCATAAGAACTGAAGTGAAACTTAGCTGGGAGCTCACCTATTACGGACATACAAGGAGAGACCAAATGTACATAAAATATTACAATTTTATGTTCTACCAGTATAAATGGATAGAATCATTTTTTTTTAGTTTTTGTCAGCATTTTAAAATTTTTAAAAAATGTAAAATAAAAATTGTAATGAAGAAAAAAGATATTTTTTCAAAAATATTAAAATTATCAGAACTGAAAAAAGAAAGTGCCAAGTGTAGTGGTATATGCTTTTACTCTTAGCACTCCAGAGGCAGAGACAGCCAGTTTCCGGCCAATCCAGTCTATATGACAAGCTCCAGGTCAGTCAGAGCCACATAATGAGACTGTGTTGGGAGTGGGGAGAAGAAGGAGTGTCAACAGGTTACAACAAATATTTTAACATGGTTGTACTGTATAACAAATAGATATTGTATCAGCTGTAGTCTCGAACTAACATGAAAATTTAAAAGATGCATAGGAAAACAGAACAATTTCATAAAAATTTTCTGTACCTTCTGTCTGCAAATGTCTGCAAGCTTTCAGTCAAAGGCAATTCTAAAGCCAGCCATAGTGGCCTAACACTTATGACTCTAGCATTTAGGAAGATCATAAACTCAGGCTGGCCTGGAAAACCTAGCAAACTCCAGGCCAGCCTGGGCTACACAGTGAGATCTGAAAGTAGGAAAAAAGGAAGGAAAAAAAAGAGAGATAATTCTAAAATCTATTTACTATGTACAACTGAGAATTGAAAGACATCAAAATTGAAAATTTTCTTGAAAACTAGCTTCAAATAGCCATCACTATAGACACAATTTATTTAGAGAAGTGTCATAGGAAGAGCTGTTATTTACTCAAAATTATACAGACCAAATACAAACTTATGTTGGGCTTCAGACCATAGCAAAGTGGACCTGGCCTCCCATTAGCTAGCAGTCAGGTCTAAATAAATTCTTCTTCCTTTAAAACATTTCTGTCAAACATCTGTTACAGCAATAGAGTGACTAGTACACACAGTAGAAAAAACCCTTAATTTCCACTTTCTCTTTCTCTTGATTCCTGTGGAAACCTTTCTGTGAAGTTCCCGGTAAACATCCTATTATGACCAGTGTTTCTTAGTCAGAGCTTTATTTACACTGCTGAAGTTCTTCCCTTTCAGAAAAAATTTAAAAACTGGTTTCTTCAAAGGAAAAGTCTACAGTTGTAAGCTCCTGGGTTAGACTGAGGAAACTGTATGGAAATGGTT